TTAGCCTGCAAGCGAGCTTCAAGCTGTCAGGAGAGCTCTACATGCGAGGCTGTGCTGGCAAGCTTACCTTCGGACGAGCCTGGATCATACATGCGAGCTCTGCAGGCGAGGCTGTACAGGCGAGCTCCAGAACATGCCACGAAGAACAAGTCATAACTTTCAAACCATAAGTCGGAATTTGACGAATTATATATGAAAATCTCCTATCTCGACGAGACGGAGCTGACCAAACTGATTTGAGAGATATCAACATTTCCCCTTTTTTGTTATTTCAGACGAGGTTTTAGCAGTCTTGTTGTGAACTTCTCTGATAGAAATTAAAGATAATTTTTATTGCCTACAAACATTCTTCTGAAACATGAGTTGGAGAAAGACAGTTGTGACAACCTGAGACTGAAACTTGATTGATTTGAGCTAGAGATCGTTTCTTGATTTCTAAGGCTTCTAACCTTCGTAAGATTGTAGCCATCTTTGCTTAAAAGGTTATGTTTGACTCTAAGGGGGGTTATTGGTTGGGACAAATTGGGACCAAGTGGGAAAATTATTCTAATAGAACAATTTTACCCCTTTGGGATATTTTGAGTGGGGTAAAGTGAGATAAAGTGGGATAATGGGATAATTTGAGCATTTGATTTGACAATTCATGTGGGATAATTGATGATGTGGCACCTTATTAAAATATAATTTTATCTATTAATTACTTCTAAATTAACTTATCCAATTGGTTTAGTATATTATAATATAAATATGTCATCACAGATTTGGGTTGGGAAACCAATGAAACTATGTCATCACAGTGATCCCATGACATAGTATTTTCAAATAAACTCTCTAAAAATTCCTAAGCTTCATTGGTATTTTTCTTCATGAAATACCCTTTACACATCGATTCTAAGAAAGATTTTGAAGAATAATCCAATCTTTCATAGATGATTTGACATAATCGACACTTTTCTAGACAGTGGTGAGGATATTGGATAAGAAGATTCTTAAACCTGTCAAAATACTTCCAGAATGGCTGTCCCAGGACTATCTTAAAGTTCTGACTATTGTTTCTTAGCTTAACAGTTTTGTAGACAAGGAAAAGGTTTTTTAGAAAAATGGTGACAAATTCATCCCAAGTTGAGTTAGAATTTGTGGCAAAGCTATATAGCCATTTCTTAGCTTAGTTCTTAAGAGCAACAAGAATAATTCTGAGATTAATTACATCATTAGATAGTTATCTAATTTTAATCATAAGATAAACTTCCTCAAACTCGGAGATAAATATGTAAGCGTCTTCTGTTTTATTTCCTAAGAATTTTGGAAGCATGTTTATATAATACGGTCTAAGCTCAAAATTAGTTCTATTGACATCGGGTAGCTTAATACAAGATAAGATTGTATTCCTAGTTGGGTGACACATAGCTTGAAGAATGGGTGGATTAGCCATTTGAAAAGATGGTTCAACACGAATTAAATGATTGGTATTATCCCTGACCCAAATTTACATATACCAAAATAAATTCTTTTTATAAATTTGTTTAACTAAAAAATTTCTAAGAAAAAGAAAAGTTAGGGTTTTTAAGGAAAAAGAAAAAAACTAAAAGATCTAAAAGATAATGAGAAGAAGGAGAAGGGAAACAACTAACTAAGACAAATCAAAAGCAATCACATTGTGTCAATCACTTTAAATTCTAGGGTTAAGCCTAAACTCAACTAGATGAGCTCTTAACCAAAAACTCCTTTAGTGAAAAGATTAAAGTTTACTCAGCTAGTTAGCCAGATAATGATAGTACTAAAGGAAGATTAAAGATCAATTAAATACATTGTTACTTGCGGAGCGCGTTACGTAACCCTTAAACCTTACCTTAGACACCAACGGATTCAAGTAAACTTAAACTTGTTTATTTAAGGATTTCTTGCTCCTTAATGAGCTTGAGTCCTTAGGTACCAACGTCTAATGAGTTTTAAAAGGCTTGAGTTTGTGTAGTGAGAAATTAACTATTTGTGAGCTAAGGAAAGGGTGATGAGATCCCTCACCTTATCTTGATTAGGGGTTTTTGCCCTTAAGAATATTTTCAAGTGCATGTCAAATCAAGATGCTCAAATCACTTGGATGAATTCCCACTAACTATATACAATGTAACCCTAAGAATTAAAAGCAACTACAAAAGAATGCTAAAAATAAAACCTTCTTGTTTTTTAATTAAGATTAACAATCAAACAAATGTGAGAATGAGAGTTCTTATTTGAGTTTATTATCTTATTAGTAAATGTCCAAGTGGAGGGTGAATTTTATTAGGATTGACAAAAGTAATTTTTTTAGATCCTAATTGTGAGAAACTAGCTAAAAATGATGGAATTAAAAATACTAGAAAGAAGAGTTACCAAAAGTAAATATTCAATCTTCAATCTTAAATCATTGATCTTCAAATCTTCAAAGTGGCTCCTTCACAAGAAAACACACAAATTAAAGGACCAAAATAGAGAAGTTCTAGTTATAAGCACATTCCCCGGAACGACGCCAAAAACTTAGATAGAATCCAAAGTTGCAAGCACACAACCATTAAGTTATAGTATAAAAGATTATCAAATCCCATGAGGAAGATTTTATAAGAAATATCAAAATTGGTCCTTAAGTTGTGTGTGATAATTTAGGAGTGATTAAAGTGGTTGTGGAGAGATAAATAGAGTGGATGTGATTACATATAAATAAAATAAAACTAGATTGAGAGGGGAGAAAGAATTTAGAGAAAAAGAAATAAATAAAGAAAAGTCAAAAATAAAAAGGAAAATCAAGAAAGTAAAAGATGGAGTATTCAATTAGAGATATAAGGAATCTAGAATTGAATCCACTAGCCAATTTTGCTTATAAATTATGAACTATTCTCTTTTTATCACATTCTACTTTAGATTTATTAATTGTAGACTATCAAACCACTTAAGGAAAATATAACCTATCAACTTATCATCCAAGTAAAATTAACATTCACGAAAAGAATAACAACTAGATAGTAATTCTAAATTAATAAGCATACCTATCAAACCACTCAAGATAAGTATAGATTATCAAATTCTTCTTCTACCAATTAGTTCTCTAGTTGATTATCCTAAGTATGATCATTTTAAGGACAAGAGAATAATTCATAAATTATAAAAGAAATTATACTAGTTTCATATAATTCTAGAATTCATACAAAAATTACTTTCAAATTTTAGAAAATAAAAAATATAAAAATAAAATCTATACTAGAGAGAATAAAATGAAGACAATAAAAATAATAACTAATCCCAAGAGGGTTCTAGCCTCTTGGAGAATGAAAGAAAAAGAATAAAAACTAACTCCTAAGACGGTTCTAGCCTCTTACAGAATGAGGAAAAAAAAAACAAAAACTAATTTCCAAGAGGGTTCTAGCATCTTGGAGAGTAATGCGAGAAAATAAAATCTAAACCATACAAGAAAATAAATCTATACTACAAAATACAAAAAAAAAAGGCATGAAAGTAAATCTGCTTTACAAAGTATTAAAATAAATCTGAAACAAGAGGGTTCTAGCCCCTTGAATATCTAAAACAATTACAAGAAAATAAAAGGTAAAAGAGAAAATTTACATTGCAAGAGAGTTCTATCCTCTTGAAAACAAATATTCATCTTCATCATCAAACAAAGAGAAGAAAAGAAAAATATGAAAAGATGAAAAAAATTATTAACTACAATAAAGTAATAATTTTAGAAGGTCTTCTCAATTAAGAGTAAGCTTCCTCTCCAAATGGAGTTATTACACAATTTTTCTCACTCAAACCCCTCACCCTCTACCCTATTTATAGCCTACAGCAAGAAACAAGAACAATTAGATTTTACTTGGGCTCCAAGGATTAAATCTCAGCCATAAAACAAGCTTGTTACGAACTAATTAGTCGGTCAACTGATTGGCCAATCGGTTGACCAACCGATTAGGCAATCAATTGACCAACTGATTGGAATTCTAAAGTTCTTAAAAATATAGTTAGCTCTGTCTCATCAAGATAGGAGATTTTCATATATTATATGTTAAATTTCGCCTTCTATATTGAGAGATATTGTTGTTTCTTTGTGGCTAATCATCTTGAAAATAATTTTAATTTGATTTTTATATTGAATCCTTGTTTCTTTGGCTTCTGTAGATTGCTTGGCTTGATCCTGTGCTTCAATAAAAGGTTAAAAAAAGTTAGAAATTTGAGTTCTTTTTGAGCTTTTATTTATTTATTCTTTATTAACCTGTAAATTAAGATAAAACATGTTTATTAGTGACATTTTTATTTAAACAAAATAGATAATAAGCGTATAAAAATGTAATAGAAATGTGATTATCAATTCTTCTACACACACAAGCATTATTGCACGTGCTAATGCACATGCCATAGATATTAAACATATTTATTCTAAATTTTTTATATAAAGAGTGATTATATTTTAATACCTCAAAGTTTCATTAATTTCTTAACTTTTATATCATATACCAAAGTAGTTAAGATATAATTTTATAAAAATATAATATTAAACTTATTCGAGCATGAGAGTAACTTTTCATTTACTGAAGTGTCAACTGAAACCAGTGTAGAAAATACTTTAATCCCAATGATATAAAAAATTATAAGTAGTTGTTCGGAAAGATCTACTATTTAAAATTAAAAGTATTCTTTTAAAGTGATCGTGTTTAATTTTTTTAATTGTTATATTTTGCATTGATATTTGTTTAATAATCAATTCAGAAAAGAAACTTATCATTTTATATTTTAATCTCTTATAACGTATAGCTTGATGAATACATGATTTAGAATGTTTTAGAAATAAGAAAATGATGAGTATTAATTATTGTGAATGAAATGCTATTCTCGTTTATAATTTAGAATCTTTTAGAAATAAGAGAAGAATCAAAAGAAGTGGAAAAGTTTTTCATATTCAAAATTACTAATATGTCCCTTAATCTTCTACTATGATGGGAAATGCCCTACAGTAGTTTTGGTGCCCCACTAAGATTTTAATGTAGTATAGCATAGATATACCCGCATAGCTCAGGAACAGACACTCCATACTTCATCACACAATGTTCACAGATCAGAGCCATTCTTCTGTCCGCTCAAGCAACTGGATATGTTGCGTACATTGCAATCCCACACAATCCCTCAGCATCTCCAACATCCCTCTGTATCTTACCAAACCCATTCTCACCCCAACTAGGTCCCCACGAGTTCTTCACCAACCAGTACTTAGTCCCATCTGACTCCACACCGTAGCCGACCACCGTCACAGCATGATGAACGTTATCTCCACACGGCCCATCAAACACACCCGAGCCTGCGAAAAACATAAACTCATTTCCACTCCCATCAATCCCAGCCGATACCGGTTGTCTGGAAACTGCTTTCAAAAGTGACGCTTCGTCATTCGGAGGCACGCTCTCGTAGCCTGTGATTGTTGCTGCCGGTGTTGCGGGGTTGCAGGTGTTAATGTCTGATTGGTCGTCGTAGGGGTAGTTTGATTCAGTGGTGAGGCCTCCGTTGGCGATGACAAACTCGAAGGCATTGGACATTAGGCCTCCGGAGCATCCATGATCGTTACCGTTGACATCGCAGTCGACTAGTTGTTGTTCTGACAGGGAAGTTAGCTCGCCGGTTTTGATTTGATGGATGCCTTCTATTGCTGCCACGGCGGAAAATGCCCAGCAACATCCTATTTTTTGAATCAGAGAGACATAAATTTTGGTTGATGATCTTGCTTGGATTAAGAATTTTGATTAATGGTTAATTGATGACAGATCTCGTGGATGTAGGCAAGATTGCCGAACCACGTAAAAATTGGTTGTTTGCGTTTGTGCCGTTATTGTGCTTGTGTTTGTCCTTCTCTTTCAGCGTTTGTATTTGGACCTCGGGGCAAAAATTCACAACATTTTAGTAGCACTTTTTATTTTCTGAACTCCTGAAAATATTGCTATCCAAGTGACAGATGATTATAAATTATCTATTGCTCTTGGTTTAACTGAAAGTGACTAAATTTTCCTTACATTTTGGAGCAGAAGGATAAGCCTGCAAGATTCGGAGGGCTAAAATTGCTAAAAACAAAGTTTCGAGACAAAAGTGACTGCCATAGTAAAAGATGTATCCATAATATATTTAACCCTTAATTTGATTCTTAGTATATATTTAATATAACTTAACTCATAACCGATGGTCTCATGAAGCGTTCAAGTATGCATCAAAATAGGTTAAACAAATCATTATGAATAAAAAATGAGAGAGTTGGCCAATCTTGGGGTTGATATAGTGCATATTTTTCTACGATCAATGCGTTAATTATTGTATTAGCTTTATACTACCTCTTTCTGCTAGGAGTCCAGCTATATGTCACGTGTTCTAGCCAACATCCTTCATTTTATTTTATTTTCCGACACTGTGACAACCCATGATGTAGAAGTTTTACTTGATCTTACCGCAGGTTTTTTGATCTTTGACATCAGTAACTGCTCCTTCCATTCTCCAGTCCATGCTATTAGGCACGTCTGATAAATTCGCGTACCTGAACTCACTGGTTATCATCTTGTGTTCAGGTTCGTTCTCACGCACAAAGCCAGTGTGGGAGGCCATGAACTCTTCGTTGGTTAGATCTGCAAATTTATTAACACCAAGTTTGTACTTACGGTCACCTTGTTTGTTGACGGATTCTATGTACTCGACATTCTGTTTGAAAATCTTGTATCGGATCTCCTTCTCAAAGTCGTCTTTGTATACACGTCTGTGCTCTGCCATCCACTTTTCATGCCGCACAGACATTTCTACATTGAATTTTTCTGCCAAGGCCGAAGATACCAATATCAGTAAGGCCAGAGAACGAAATTGAATGTTTGATGATGCCATGAGTGTGTTTTTTGAGTATATCTCAAAGTAGAGTTCTTGCACATTTATAGATCCCCGAGAAAATATCTGTTATCCACAGTGATCGATACATATGTGATGTAAAAAAATTCAGCATATGTTTATGAGCTACAGAGCAGCCTACGGAAAATGTGTTAATACAATATAATTGTGAGTGGAACGTTAAGGGCTGCTATTCCTTACTGAGAAGATCAAGGGAAGAGGGAAGGAGAATATTCAGTATCGAGACAAACAGAGAGAAGTATGAGTATGGGAGTTCTCTAAGGATACTCTTAGTTGAAAAGTTTGCCCAAGATTCTCATTTCGCTTTCTCATGACACTTAAGAGCTGTCCATGGGAGTACTTATACGTTTGCTAGCTTGGTGGCCACAAAAAAAGACGACTCTACTTCTGAATAATAGATGCATGATTCAGACATTCCATTTGTCAATACATACTATTTACTAAAAACTGTGTTGCATCCATGAAAAGAACCTGAATGTGGCAGGTAATCAAATGACATCCGCGAGTGTTTTCGTCGAAAGTTACCTTAGTCATTGATTTCATTAAACTTTAAGCGTTACAAATGAATTCAAACAACAAAAGAATAAAAGATTACAACTTTCTTGAAAATAAACACAAGATCCGTTCGTCGTCTCTTGCTTGCGTGGGTCTTTAGCCTGTGACGGGGATGTCGATATCCGTGGACTACCTGGCAATCAGATCAGGTCCAGAGCTTCGTCGATCCACGAGGAGATCTAGAAACAGAAGCGCTTATCTCGACAAAAGCGAGATAATTGCTCTTCTTAGAATTACCACAACGGGATAATACTAAGGATTGGATGCGGGTAATGTAGATCTGACGACTTTCGATCTTTTGTGTTGAAGAACTTGATCACTCTTCAGTTCGGCAGGGCTTCGCCAATTCTCCAAAATTCCAGATCTTGAAAAATGAGGGCCTGAGGCTTGTATTTATAGGCCCGGGGGAGTTTGGAGCGGTTAAAACCACCTAAAGGCCCAAATCTACGTTGGAGACACCCCAGGGTGTCTCCACTTGATCCGAGACACCCTAGGGTGTCTCGGTTTGGGCCGAGACACCCTTGGGTGTCTCGGCCTTGGCCGAGACACCCTAGGGGGTCTCGGCTTTGGCTGAGACACCTTAGGGTGTCTCGTTGGTCCGAGACACTCTGTTATGATGTATATGTCCGCTTCCGCTGTAAATTCTTCGTCCGAACTCGGATTTGAGTGATTCGAAGTGCGTTGGAAAGCCGACAAGGAGTTCTATCAGCTCCGATGGTTGGATCATCTGTAGAGCGAATGAGACACGAAGGGCAATGTTCCTTTTGTAAACATCGCGAGGCTCCCGATTAGCCCGTACCTTCGTTAGTTCACGTAGTTCGTCGATCTATTTCAAGCGTTCATCGACATCAATCGAACTCCTGTGAACCGGATAGTGACATTCATCGTCGTTCCCTAACACTGAGCTGTTCGTGGAGACCTATAGGTAATTTTCGATGCCTACAGCGAGCACTTCCTGCAATAGTTGAGATTGTAGTACTTGGGATCAATTTCACTAACTTCACCACGCTAACTTGTGTGATGAGCTTCCTCTGAAGCTAAACATAATCTTTAACATTTGCCAGCTGAAGAAGTGGCGAGAGAAGTTTAGGAAATCAGCAAGAATTAGCCAGGCAGACTGGCGGTCGACCGCGAGTCAACGGCGGTCGACCGCGAGTCGACCGCGAACATGCACAGGAGAGCAGGAGGCTCTGGAGCTAAAGGCGATCGACCGCGCGGACCCTGTAGGCGATTTAACTCTCAATAATTGGTTCGGTCAACCGCCGCGGTCGACTATGGGTTTCCTGTAATCGATTTATTCTTTGTCGGGGGTGTTCGGTCGATCACCGCGGTCGACCGCGATACCTACACGGTCGATCGTCACGGTCGACCACGTAGCGGGTTTGCAGTTGGGTTAGTTATTTAACCCGGTTCGTTTTAGAGCGGATATATAACTCTAATCCTGATTAGATAGGGATATAGAAAGGACATTTTTGAGCAGTCTTTGGGAAAGGATTGCTACATCTAATTGTGGGAGAGTTGTGAGAGATTTAGAGCTTTGTTTTAGGGTTTGATCGGTGAGATTTGTAACTCTATTTGTATTCTCTTGATCGGTGAGATTTGTAACTCTATTTGTTTTAGGAATTGTTTTAGGGTTTGATCGGTGAGATTTGTAACTCTATTTGTTTTAGGGTTTGATCGATGGCTGAAAGATTGAACCGTACCATGCTGAAGAAGGTGCGATGTATGATGACGCAGAGTAGATTGCCTAGATCCTTTTGGGCCGAGGCGTTGGTTTATGCGAGTCATCTCGTGAATAGGTTGTCGTGCACTACGATAGACGGGAAGACTCCTTTGGAGCGTTGATTTGGTTCGGTGGCTAGTGATTATGAGTCGCTTCAGATATTTAGGTGTCCAACTTATTACCATATCAGTGATGGTAAATTAAATCTGAGGGCGAGGAAAGCTATCTTTGTGGGATTTAGAGATGGAGTTAAAGACTTCAAGTTATGGGATCCACGGGATAAGAAAATAGTTATTAGCAGAGATATCATATTCGATGAGGCATACATGATGAGGCCTCGAGTCCCTCAGCATGTGGAGGGAGACTAGACAGTTGAGATATCGTAACAGGTGGAGGATGATGTGAATCCACCCACTCCAGATATCATTGTATCCATCGAGACTCCTACAGAAGTGACACTGGGAGGAGATGAGATGACAGCCGGGAAGATAGAGGATACAGTGGATGGTAAGACTCAGGAGTGGGGTCATGTTCAAGGGTCCATTGCAGCAGATAGACCAAGGAGGGTGATTCATCGGACAGTTAGGTATAATGATGTCATGGTCACATATGCATTATCAGTGGAGGTCGTTGATGATATGGTTCCATCCACATTCAGGGAGGCAGAGTCTAGCCCCGATTCGATCAGGTGGAGGGAAGCTATAGAGGAGGAGATGCGATCTCTTCAGAAGAATGACACTTGGAAACTTGCAAAGCTACCTAAGGGTAAGAAAGCTATTGGTTGTAAGTGGGTATATGCAAAGAAGGAGGGATCTTCTATTGGGGACATTCGGTTCAAAGACAGATTGGTTGTCAAGGGATATGCACAGCTTGAGGGCATTGATTACAACGAGGTATTTTCACCCGTTGTGAAGCATTCGTCGATTCGGATTTTTATTGGCATTAGTGGCACAGTTGGATTTGGATTTGGTCCAGATGGATGTAAAGACAGCCTTTCTACACGAAGATTTAGATGAGGTGATCAACATGACACAACCCTTAGGATTCAAAGCTGCAGGAAAAGAAGTATCGGTTTGCAAGCTGAAGAAGTCTCTTTATGGTTTGAAGCAATCACCGAGACAATGGTATAAGAGATTCAACAGCTTCATGATTGGCCATGGGTACACGAGGAGCCTATATGATCCATGTGTTTACATGCACAAGCTATAGGATGGTGAGCATATATATTTACTTTTATATGTTGATGATATGCTTATTGCTTCCAGGAATTCTTCGGCTATTCGAAAGTTAAAAAAGGAGCTGTCATCCGAGTTCGAGATGAAGGATCTTGGAGAAGCAAAGAAGATATTGGGTATGGAGATCGAGAGAAACAAGGTAAAGGGGAGATTGAAGCTTACACAGAAGAGCTATTTGCAGAAGATGTTGAAGAAATTCATCTTTGAGGGCAATGCAAAAGTAGTTAGTACACCATTAGCTCTCCACTTCAAGCTTTCAGCGTTGATGTCGCCTGTTTTAGTTGAGGACAGAGATTATATGTCGAAGGTACCATATGCCAGTGCAGTAGGTATCTTGATATATGCGATGGTATGTACGAGATCAGATTTGTCACAGGCCGTGAGCATGGTATCGAGATACATCCACGACCCCGGGAAGGGTCATTGGGAGGCCGTGAAGTGGATTCTATGGTATGTTAGAGGCACCATGGATGTTGGTTTGGTATTCCAGAAGGATGAGAAGAATGGGTAGGATTGTATTGGTTACATGGATTTAGATTATGCTGGAGATCTTGACAAGCACCGGTCTACTTCAGGTTATGTGTTTACATTGGCAGGTGCACCAATATATTGGCGACGTACGCTTCAGTCCATAGTAGCTCTCTCTACTACAGAGACGGAGTATATGGCGATGACTGAGGCTATTAAGGAGGCTTTGTGGCTACAGGGTTATCAGCATTGAGGTGCTCGTCCACATCTGAATCGCTACCTGCTTGGTCATCAATGTTGCGATGGCTGGATTCACCAAGTTGATTGGACAGAGCCCGAATCTGTTGGTCATGCTCTTCCCTCATCTGCTACATAGCCATTTCCATTTCAATTTTGAATGCTTCTTTTTGTTTGGCTAGAGTATACTCAACCATTTTATCTACTTCCTCAGTGTTAATCATAAACACCTCACGGGATTATCCTAAACTGGATATCGTTTTGTCAAAAGCGACTACAGAGTTGGTATCTGACGCTTCATCATCTGAGGATAATCCCCTATGCATTCTCTGATAATCTCTACGTCTAGTAGTCCCTACGCATAGCCGAGTTAGACGATGCGATACGAGCAGGTCAGAACTAGAAGGTCGAGCCGACTTTCCCTTATCAACCATGTTAATTGTGACTTCTGGAAGTTCGTCATCTTGAACAGCTGGTCGTTTATTACGGAGATGCTTTGGTTTGGACTTAGCCTTTCCGTTAGAGATTCTCTCAAATATCGAGACTCTCTGTAGAGCGGTCTTGGGGTAGCTACACACTGATAATACTGCCCTGAGAATTTTGGTATACGGACAGTGAGAGTCTGCTTCTCGGGTACTTCACTTTCAAGATTTGTTTATACCCCCAGCCTGATAGTACAACTCATCGGCATGATTGACGGAGCAGCCTATCATATGCTGGCACAACTTCCCAGGTATAACATTATCATCGTCAGACGAATA